TTGGAGCAGGTTTTTAGTCAGTAAGTCTGACTTTCTAGCCCCAACTAAGGCAAAAGAAAACATTCAATGATTATCTCTCTCAAAAGAAAAATTACAGTTCATCTATACAGTTCATGGAATTGAGAGAAAATGAGAGAGAAGCGATTACTTGACTTTCTCCCTCAAAAACAAACAGACAAAAAAGTTATCTAATTTAACCATTTTTATACTGGCAGTTGTAATTCGTAAAAAATCTTAAACACGGCCAAGTACGACATGGTAATGATACGCGCACGAAGGGCGTACCATTCGTTCAGTTAGTCATACGAGTGATGAACAACATTAAAAAGTACTTTTTTGTATGGGAGCCTTACAATTTGTGTTAATATGTATAGAGGCAACAGAAATACATCATATGGCAATACCTTTACTGTCCAGCTATCACAGTTAATGGGCAGTCTAGTGACCAGCATGGCAGAGATGTAGGAATGACGCTAAAAGCTACTGCTTCTTGCGAGCTAACGCTGGTATAAATACTCAACATACATTGTAACCCTAGTAATTGATAAAAACTTATGTTCCACGCAATAAAACTACAAGTAATTTTTGTAAGTTTTTTATTCTCAATAATTCAATAAATTCTACTAACATTAACCTTTATTGTTCTTAAAGTGATATACTTAAATAAATAACACCTCAATAGGATCTTCGCGCTTACATTAATTATTATATTTTCATTAACATTTTGTTACTTACAAACTAAAAAACTAAATTGTTCATTCACAACACTACAGAATTCGATTATTTAAAAATTAAGAAACAATCGACTTTATTAATTATTCTACAAATATTACGCTAAAACATTTTAAAAAGATGTCACACAAGTATTTTCAAATTCAAATTCTTTACTTAGTAATAAGTCTAGTTATGGTTTCACATTCAATATTATAATTTTTTTCTGAATAATTTTAGTTCACTCTTTTCATTCTAACTGGCCAGGTATTCTCGACATTGATAATGACAAAAAATCGATTTTCAAATCGTAAATATGTTCAATAGATTCTCAACTTCATTGTTTTGTAATAGAGTTGAAAATTGATATAATGCAGTTTCTTACTTAGGAATCGGGTATATAGTCGAGAATCCCAGCCCTGGTTGAAGTTACCAAATAACATTGATTTATAATATATAAACATTAATGTACTAAAGGGATATAAACAAAGAAATACATAAAAAAGTAAAAGTAGGAAAAATAAGATCATCTATTGAAGTAGTTGTGCTTAAAAATCACAATTATAAAAAATAAATACATTCATCCCTGTACGAAATCTCAGTTTAGCAATTAAAAAAGATGTGTGTCTGAATTTTTATTGTATATCGCTAAATTACTTAAAGAATTTTGATACGATTTGCACTAATCTATACTTAGGTTTATTTAAAAAACATAATTATTATTTTGGTGATATACTCATTATTTTCTTTGCCCATTAATCTGAAATCACTGAAACTATAGGGATATAATTACGAGTATTTAATTCATGATGTTTTTAAAATAAACTTTTACTATTATCAGTAAATAAAAGTAATAAAAAATACATTAAATTGTAGAGCAAAGCCAGTTGTTAGTTGCTAGTATATTATTTACATTGATGTATTAAAAATAAATTGCATTTTTCTCAATTCCACAAACACCTAGCCGAAAGCGGATATGCATCGTATTTACATTGACTTAAAGCTTATTTTTGTTTGCGTTAGTTATAAAAATAAACTTTTCTTTACTATTATTGATTTGTAATTATATTATTATTAGTAAATAGAAGAATTTTATATTGTAAAGTGTGCCATTGAAATATGACTTCTATACTATTGTCATAAGGTTTAAAGTTGGCTGAATGATTGCCGTAGTTTAAGTTATTTATACTTATAATTTAATCAATCTGTCACAATAGTTATGGGATCAATAATTAAGAGGTTCTGTATGTTTACGTAATTAACACTTTTAATAGTGTTTTCTATCGAAATCCCTACATTAATGAAAGAAAATTGAATTAAGAAATTCCTAAATCATTTATACGTATGTAGAAATCAATAATATGTATAAAACTCACAAAATTAACTACAAACAGTATATTTGCCTCCTATCTCTGTTCCACAAATCTGAAGAACATTTTTTCACCACTTAGCTTACATAAACTGTCTCTTTATCTTCTAAGGCTATAAAGGCCTTTTTCACCATCTTCATATAAGTTCCATGTAAACTTAAGTGACACATAGTTGATGGAAATAACGTTGTATAATTCAAATTTACTTTTACATAGGTACTATTTTACTATTTATTTAGGCATTGTGCAACAGATCCTTAGATTCAAGTGAATTCGCGAATCGCGTTAATATCTCGGAAAAAGATAATATTTCTTTTTAAATCTCTGATCTAGGTCTCAAATGGTATCTCGTTTAAAACCTTGTATTTTAATTACATAGTACTAATTTAACTTGATTACGCAACAACGCCATCTGCCGGCCGCAATCAGACATCAATTCGCCTAACATTAATTGAAAAATAATTGATTTTAACGATAATTACTTGTATGTTAATTCAATATGAACCGTATACTGATGGCGTACGGTTCGTTATGCGATGTGGGGGTCGTTTGCTAATTATTTTTATGTAACTGATGTAATTTGTTACTTTATACATAGTTTGTTTTTTAAAAGCAAGTAAAATATAAGGAGAAGACTTTGTTTACTGTTTTTTTTATTATTTATTTCATACGAGAATCATGTCATATATTATGGATGCTTTTACCCATAATGATATTTATATACATTACATTGTCGTGGTAGCCCGAAGTAACCTTCGGGCTACCACGACAATGTAATGTATATAGTGTGCCCGCTTCTTATGCACAAGGATGAGGGTTCGAAACATGGCAAGTACGAGTTATATGTACTTTCTAACATTATATAGAGATTAAAGAAAACATCGTGAGGAAACCTGGACTTAGAATGAATTCGCCAACCCACTTTGAGCAAGCGTGGTGACTAATGCTCAAACCTTCTCCGTGTGAGAAGAGGCCTTTGCCCAAGTAGACACTTATAGGCTTATATGATGATGATGATGATGATTATAAATGGATTAACAACAATTTTCCTGATAATAAGCGCCGAGTGTAGCGCTCGATATCAGGTATAGTTCATAGTCAAGTTGTTTTTTTTTTCAATATCTTGACCCATCCGGATGTTGAACCTAGCTTACCGTACTTCACATTCTGAGCAAGAACAAGTCAATCAAATCATCTCAAATTAGCATTTAATTAATAAACGCTAATAATTGTCTATAAGACTGACTTATTGTCAGCAATATCTTAAGCCCTATTTCAATTCCCTAGAACGCATTTCAGCATTTTTCCCTAAATATCATCGTACTTCTAGGTGTTTTGCTAATTTAAACCCTATCTACTTTCATTGAAGATTGAATTTCGATTGTCTACTACATTCATTTTTTTAAGGGACAACCATCTTTCTAATTATCTTCTAAGTCCCGTGATTGATTTTTACACATGTTTTTAATACAACTTTTCCCGTAAGGGGGTAGGCAGAAGCCTGTTTCTATTAGGTACTTCATACAACCAAGAAGTATGTCTAATAATATAAATTTAATATATATATACAATAACAATGTACGGAAAATATTTGCTTTCTGCTACAAATACGGAACATTCTCAAATATTGAGTTACAATCCTTACGCAGCACGTAAATATACAGCATGTCTCATTTAGCGGTATAAGCATAACTCCGAACTCGAACCCACACCGGTTGCGAGAAGACAAGACCAAGGAACGAGGGTTACATTAACATCAACCCACTTAAACATTAAGAGGATAAGCAGAGTTACAAGTAATGTTATTATTTTATAATCAATCAAAACTTCATCATAATTAGTCCTAGATAGTTATGTTTATATCGCTAAATGAGAATGCTTGCTTAGCCCAGGAGCTCACGTTATAAGATTTCAACAATAACATTTCAAACAAGTTCCTTGTATAAAAATACATTTTACGTCTATTTTCTTTATTCATACCAGCTATAAAGGAATGGATTCAAATTAATACATTTTAATATTCCTATAATAATATTTGTCACTCCATCTCCGGCTCCTGGACTAAACGCTACTTTCCTTACACAATTTTGTACCCGATCATTTATCTTTTAGTTTTATCTTATATATTATAAATATGAGCATATAATTTGGCTATAAATATATACATATAATTATATTAATTTAGCACATTGCTGTAACTAATTAAGATGACGCATGCTTATGTAGACCTTTTAGTCTATATGCTAAAGTTTTTTTTAATTTGGCTGATTTACTATCATGCCATTCAAAATTGAACCTTAAAACATTGGTTATAAAGATACTTTTAGACTGAAAATTGATTATTCGAATATTTTTCTAATTAACTCCGATCAATTCCACGTAGCAATCAATTTCCTATATACTGCTAGTACACAAACATGCGTTACTTACGACCGATACGATATATAACGATTTACATACAATATTTTATTCGTATATTTAGCTATTAATTGAAAAATAGACTCTATTCACAACAGTATAAGATTGAAAATCTGTTTGGATGTTGAAATAAATTCTTTATGGCAACGATAATGAAGAATATTATATTATAAGAGGTAAGATTTGTCACAGTGTAAATGTATGTGCAGACGGAGCGATTTACTTGTAGTTATTAAAAAATCAAGTATCATTACTGTATTTCTAATACACAATACTTTTCCAACACTACATAACATTATTAAGCACAATTAAATTCTAAACTAAAACAATATCACAACTTTATATTCGTATTCTCGCTAAAATCGCTCCGTCTGAACACTTTTCTTTTCAAACATAATCTGTGTGAGATCGTGTCATTATTTAAAAACAGTGTTATTTAAGGAAAAATAATTATGCCATTTTATTACATACATCGTTAGTCCGTTACACAAGACCGAAAATTTCCACGTTCCACGCGGGAATCAAAGCCGTGACAGAAAGCACAAGAGCAATTCAATCAACTCCTGCGCACGAAGTATCATCAATAAATAAACAGGACACGTAAAGCCTGCAACTTCTGCATTTGTCTAGTAAATATATTCAATTACAATAAAATATTAAAACCACATTGTATTTCATTTCCTTTCCAAATAAGGACAATCTTATTGACTAAGAAATTTCACATAACTACATAATTATATCAAATCCGACAGCTATAATTATACGACATAATTATTATTTGAACTAAAATAGAATAATAATAATAATCAATAATGTATGATGTTACTAGTCTAGTTTCTAGTTGGGAACGATCACCTGCAATGTTTTTAGTTCGCCACTTTTTGAGTGAATCTCGCCAGTTCCTCAAACTCTGGCAGCTAGTTCAGGTGAGTGGTGGGGCGGGGGGTGCCACGCCCGGGAATGGAAGCTCACATCACCGGGACGGGCAGCTGCTGCTCACTGACTTGCCGCTGAGGCAGGAGAACCCGCTCGTACCCGACTGCAGGCTGGACATGGAACCCCTGGGGGAAATTCATTGTTTTATCATGTAGGACTGGGAGGTAACTGTGAAAAACCAAGCTTAAGTAAATGTAGATAGAATGCATAATATATAGTATCGACTGCACCAAATGTGATGGGAATGAGGATCAAAATTTTGAGAAACATATTGACTAAGAAATAAACCGACCAAAGAATAAAATAGTATTGACTTAGATCCGGCAATAACCAGTGATATGAGGCTAACTAAAAATTTAAATTAGTATTGTATACTTAATCAAAACCTACTGTACGTTCAGGCAACCTAAAATGATGTTCAACCTTAAAAAAGTTTAACCTCTTTTTTAAGTGATAGGTCGGCCAACGAACGTACGCATGGTAAGCAATCATCAGACACCCGCAACAACAGAGGAGTTACGAGTGCGTTGCCGACCTTATGGGGATTAGGGGAGAAGGATCAGGCTTTCGGTAACTTCATTCACACTGCAAAACACAACGCTGTGGTTGTTTCGCGCCGGTTTTCTGTAAAGCTGTGGTATTTCTCTGATCGAGTCGACAAATTTTTTCGAAAACTTTATAACTTATAACACTAAGAACGCCAGGTCGGACAATAGTGAGCTATGCTAGCGGAGGGTTAGCCTTCACCAATTTTTATCTGTAGTCAAAGTCAAACAACGAAGAGTAGAGAGGCTTACTTGTAGTGGTGCGAGGTGAGCGTCTCGTGGAAGTACATGAGCTGCGCGGCGCGGGAGGTGCAGTCCAGCACGTCGCAGCGCCACTGCAGCACGTAGCTGCCCACCTCCAGCATCACGTGCGAGCCCTGTCCACAACAATATTACGTTATAGTATGTGTGAACTTCAAATAAAATCTCTAAGGTTACTATTTCTTTCTGGCTGGTTTTGGTATCGTTGAAAGTTAAAATTTATTCTAAAATTTATTTTAAACGACATACTTCCAATTCGAATTTGGAAAATGTATGATTTTCATTTGTTTTCGTGTGTGAATTCGAATAAACTTTTCCCCAACCTTTTGTAACCGTGGCATACAAAAGTCTTGGTATGAACTTCAACGGTACTATTGAGCTGTCCTACCAGCTGTTGAGAGAGGTATGACATATCAAAAATTATTCAACCTCCTTTTAGGCTAGAGGCTCTTCATCCTATATGGCACTGCATCCTATAAGTCCATAATCAATCTAAAAGTTCCCACTTCTGAGCAAAGAACTCTTCTTAAACGGAGAAGGTTTGAACATTATTCACCACAGTTGGTCAAGGTAGATATTGGTCGAAAAATCAAAAAAAAAAATTTCTTTTGAAAACATGACGATAAAATAACAGCACTTTTTTTACTTAATGAACGATTCTGCATAAACAGAACATATACAAAACATAACACTCTTTTTTATTAATTCACATTCATATAGGAAGCCACTTTATTGCCGTTCACCAAAAGTGTAGTTGTATATTTCGTGCTGTTCAAACAGCCTGGCAAGGCACTGGCGGATTGATGCTACAACCCTAAAAAATAACAACAAATTGTATACAAAAATTACCGTGAAATCAAAGATTGTTTTACCTTCAATCTCTATATGGAGATGAGGTTAAGTTCCGACCAGATGAAGAGAAACCCTCACGCTACTTCCAGTCATTTTCAAAATAAACCATCGTTCAGTATCTCCCTACCTGTATGCTCTCCCCATCATGACAGACGAGGGTAGGCTCCACCCTATGGAAGTGTTCCCCCTCGCGCCATCCCTTCTGGTCCAGCACCGACTTGGCCTCGTCCCCCCCACCTACACACAGCGCTGTAATCAATAGCTGGTGTTATGGGCAACATAAAAAAATCATAACAAGCAAAAACGTAACTCAAAATAAAGAGGATCTCAAATAATAAAGTGGGAGGGTTTAATATGAAAATAATTTAAAAGTTAAATGTAAAAAAATTGCTTTGAAAACACGTGAATGAATGATATTTTTGTGCGTGTGATGAGAAAAACTGTTACTTAATATAGAGATATAATGTGGACACATCGAAATGATATGTAATACTTAACATAATACAATGTATTGTAAAATTATAAAACTTCTTATTTCAAATAGTACATTTTTTAAGTTCTTTTTTCAAAACCATCATGCTCAATCCCTACAACTCTTGTAAATCCGAATTAATGAGAATGTCAGGTACGAGTTACGTGTACGTTAATGTGATAATAACTCTTTAGCCGTCTGATTAGTTAGTGAACTCGGAGGTAAAACAAACTGGCATAAGGTACTCTATACTAAGACATTGCCAAATCTTGCAAAGATGACAAATATCTTTGGAGGCTAGACTATAGGAAAATAATATATTTTCACGCCTTGCTATCCCTATAAGAATACATAACACAATATAATGCAAACATTAGATTTCGCTAGTTTTACCAAATTACATTCAATTACCATCAGTTGCTTTTTCCATGAAAGAGTAAAAAACATACATTTATTTATTAATTTTTGTCCATACCTACATACAAACTTTTGCTTTTGTAATATTAGTAAAATAGTTCCATTTTAATACAAACTATCCCTCAAAAATAGTCAAGAACTGAAAATCCAGTTGTTCTTCCATCACTTAGAAGAGCAGAATCTATCACAAACCTGTAGTGTCAGCGGGTGGGTGGCAGAGCTCGTGGTCGCTTCGGTACACGGTAAAGGCGATGTCATGTCGCAACACGTCGAAGTCCCAAGTCAGCACGCTTTGAGGGTCGCGGTTCGGTACTATTACTTCATGGACCTGATGAAAATGAATGGTAGATATGATAAGAGGAAAGGGAAAAACTTAGAGTCCCAATATGTTTTTGTGCAGTTTACTTTCATTTGAAAGGACTAAAAAATATATTAGCTTGATCCACGGAGTAAGAACAAAGAGGAGACGGCCTAAACAACTCGGCCCTGTGACACAAGTCGGCCCTCACGTCATCAATGTGGGCGTGGCTTACGTCAGTGTAATGTGGTCGTTCGTCCTGTGCATAACTCCTATAAAATATTCATTTTACTCGTGACAGAAGAAAACAAATTGAAGTCTTGTGTTTTATCTTGTAAAAAATACTATGATAAACGTTACGGTGCTATGCATGGCATCACTTTTCATGTATAAGTTATTTTATTCGTCATTTATTAAAATAGTTCTAGCAAGGTCTCTTATTGTCAGCGTTTCCAATTATCAATCTACGCGACACTAGATGTCGACACTTTGTATCATAGAAACAAAATTTTTATAGGTACGCATAGTTCAGTATCAGTATATTTTAATGATCGTTTGTATAGTAATTTGATCGACATGCATTCCTAAAGATCCTTTAATCTCCAAAACATTATTTATATAACTTTTATATCATCTTATAAACAGACTGCCATCTATTGTCAAGTAGTAAAACATAAATAAAGACAGGGCAGTAATTAGGAGTCAATTACTTTTTAAGGTTTATAGGTGTCGTTGATTTATTTAAGTCGCGAATGGAATCACTCAAATTTAGCGCACCTCACCGCACGGTGTGAGTGCTAAATCTTAGTGCCTGAGTGTTTGAAACTGAACGACCTTATTTATACTTAACATACCACTAGTTAATTAGATGTAATGTTCGTTATTGTTCCAAAATATTGTTGAGTTATTGTTTTGTGTTTTTATGATCCAAAATATTGTTGAGGTAAAACCGGCGAACCTGTAATGCAAATTAAGACGATTGCTGTTACATTATTAGAAGGTGTTAGGACCGCACACTCTTTATCAGCATTGCTATTGAATGTACAGGTGATTTAAAGTGCAACTTGTAATATTTCGATAAATTTTGCTATGGCAAAAGTTTTGCAACTAACGTCAATTATTTTATGGGATGCACTCATACAATGGCGAATAAAAAATCAATAGAAGCATTTAATCGAACCATGCAAAATTTACGCGGTACTCAACAGGTTTTTCGTGGTGCTCTGATATTGCTGTCAGGAAGCTTTCGTCAAACATTGCCTGTCATTCCTCGATCAACTCCTGATGAAAAACCTGTTTGAAGTCATCAGTTATTTGGAGATATATACGAAAATTGACACTGAACTTTAGTAATAATGCGTATTCAGCTACGTAATGATGCAACTGCCCATGACTTTTCAAAAAGATTATTAGAAACTAGCTTTTGCCCGCGACTTTGTTCGCGTGGAATAGTGACTTCCTGTAGATTTTGGGTTTAAAAACTATCCTATGTCCTTTCTCGAGTTCCAAACTATGTCTCTACCAAATTTCACTCAAATAGGTTCAGTAGTTTAGGCGTAAAGAAAAGACAGACAGAGTTACTTTCGCATTTATAATATTATTTTGGATTGGTGATGGCAAAATACCAATTGACAGTACCTACCGACGGATCGGTCATTTTACCGAATATTTTTTATACAATTGCGCAATCTATAGATGAGTTGACTGAATGTGTTTTTCCGAATATTCTTCAGAATTGCAGAAATGATTACCTAGTTCACAGAACACTATCAGACAATAGCACCGAAGAACATTTATATCAATGCCATTAATTTTCAATAATATATCTTTTGACTCGTTTAGAGTTTTAAATAGCAAACGATAAAATTTTTTTGTGTTAAATCAACATAATAATATATTTTTGATTATATTTTATGATATACTTGAACGTAGTGAAGCACGTACCGGGCCGCTAGTATTTTTATCGTAGATGCCGATAGCCTTGTCCCTTCAATACCTATGAAGATACACTTGGAGTCTTTTATTTCGTCGACGCATCCCTGAATCGTATGTTTGAAGATGGCACCAGTCTAAACGCATATGCCGTTCCAAGTTACACATTAGTAAAGTAATGGCATATCTAATAATAACACTCGTTATCACAAAGAACCAGCTATCAGCCTCTTGGTAGCATTGTATACGAGTTTGTGCTTCAGGCTAGGCCCGTAACGAAATAACCCCTTTTAAATGAAAAAGATGGTTTCGATAAATGTATAATGATCATCATTCACCAATAATAGATATTTTAGATATTTATTACTATTTCGATAAAAATGATTCGCAAATGTATTTACAAAAAACTTTTTAAAACAACTCCCCGGTAAGTTCTAAGTACGACCCTGTTGCGTTAGTGACATCTATTGTGAAATAGTTACATAACTACAAAAAGAAGTAAATTGAATGAGCGAGTAGTATTGCTACAGACCGGCAGATGGCAAATAAAAAAGTGGGCGGAGTCTAATACCCCCTCACCCCGCAAAATATCACGCGGTGTTTCTTAGGGAAATCTAATTATGACATCTCCTCTTTGTTCTTACTCCGTGGCTTGATCCGATACAAAGATCGATAGGCTAGCTAGCTAGCTTATTTATTTTGTACCAACCAACTTGTAGTTAAAAACACTGTAGGTATAAGCCAGCAACGGAGTGTAACTCTTTTGTTATTACGAATGTTCCTGGGAGGCGCCGGAACCATACTATAAAAAGCCAGATATTTGTAAATGTAACAAACCTGTCCTTTCCCCAAGCTAACAGATCGGTAGATGCTGTCCTCACTGAGAGGATCTCCCTCCCGCTCCGTGAAGGCGCCGCTTACGTACAAACTCTTCGGCACCAGCCCTCCCTCATGCACGAAGCTCTGAGGACACAAACTCCGGTCATATGGCAGGCGAAGAAGAAGGTGATGTATTTTAAATTAGCATTAGTAACACTGTTTTAAAAAGGGATGATGACTAGAAATGAAAATTGAATAGCCCTACTATTTAATTATGATTAGTGTTGCCCAAATTCAGTCTTGGTCTTGCAGTCTTGGTCTTGTTCTTGCGTTTTTGCAAGACCAAGACCAAGAACAAGACCGCGTATTTTTAGCAAGACCAAGACCAAGACTGACCGTGCAAGACTTGAGCAAGAACAAGACTTAGCCTGCAAGACTCTTGCGTCTTGCAGCTAGGACTTAGCGCTATTTCACTGAGTAGTTAGGTGGAACAGTTCGGTGTATATTTATTGTACGCTTAGGAATTCTATGAGACCCAAAAAACTGTATCAAAGAATATGAAAAACTGGACCTATGCGCATTACGACTAATACCATAAACATAGCGAATAAAAAAATATATATTAAAATCAAACTGAGTGCATGCATAGTTATGTTTTAACCATCGGCACTTTGATAATGCGGCATCAAAGGTTTTGTACTTACTTCTCAAAGAAATTTGCCGCTTTTCGGTAGTACATGGTCATGACACACGCGCCGGCGGCTTCTTTTGAAGAAATCTAAAACGATCGTTGCCGCCACGCCGAAATCATAATATTTGACACTATTTGATTACCGCCATAGGGCGTAGGTATACTCATGCAAGATAATTTCGAATTTTAAGAGTAGGGACCTACAGGTGTTCCAAACAATAAATAAGTTTCAGAGTGTTAAAAATGAAAATGAATACATTATACTGGTCACGCAAGTAGTATTATGGTAAGGATAGGTAGTAGATGTGTCATATTAATTCATTCTAGTAAGTATATATTATAATATTGATTACATATATGGTTTTAAACTAATTACTTAGGTACTATTATTGTACATTTAGTCATTATATTTCTTAAGTTTTTACAAAAAAAATATCAAAAAAGTGTTCAAATATCACCCGTTAATAATAGACTAATAGGTAATTGCAAGACTTGCAAGACTCTTGCTGCAAGACCAAGACCAAGACCAAGACTGGGAGCGCAATACCAAGACCAAGACCAAGACTAGGTGTACTGGCGCAAGACCAAGACCAAGACCAAGACTAGGTGTATTGGCGCAAGACCAAGACCAAGATGGCTAAGTCTCGTCTTGTTCTTGCATTTGGGCAACACTAATTATGATATTAAAATAAGACAAAGATTGTAGATTTTTTGTCAGTTTCAATCTGCTGAATAGATTTAAGTATAGAGACCAGATCACTGTTTATTTATAAACAGATATAAATAATATTTATGTAAAAAAAGAGAGAAAAGTAAGGGATGTAGATAAATAACCTACACTACGATATCCTGCTGTGTCTTGGGTGCGTTTACAAAAATAAAATTCATATACACAAACCACCCAGACCCGAAACAACAATTTGTAGATCCCGTAAAGTGGGAAGTGGGAATCGAACCCGCGACACAATGCACAGCAGCCAGTTGCCCAGCCACTACGCCACCTGTGCAGTGTTACAATAAAAGATGTGGTTTATCTTCAAGTTACTTTATACATATGAACGGGGCGTTCATTATAATAGATTGTTGTACTTATGTCAATATAACTATTAAAACGTTATAAGTCATCATCCCTTATACTATGTACTAGTCATTAGTGTTACATAATGTACTTGTAGTGAGTCTAGCCAAGTGAAGCTAGGTGATATGTGGTTACACATGGACTGACAGATTTACCTGTGTATCAAGCTGACTCCACAAAGTGGATGAGTTAATAAAGACTAGTAAGACAAGGACAAGTTGAAAATTCGTTGGGCATTCGTGTCTTTGGAACTCTCCCCCATAATCATATTACATAACTCATCAACAACTATGAAATAAATAACCCCCATTTTTCAGCAGTTATGTGATCAGTAATGCAGAATGCATAAGAAAAAAAATCCCTAAAATAAGATGCACTAATTACAATTGTTGCCTCAATTCTGTAACGAATATCATCTGTGGTAGAAGCCATATTTTGTTTGAAAGTTGGTAGGCTTGTGTGTGGGTGGTACGCCCGGCAGATTTCAACCAATCATGGCGTTTCCCGCCATAACAAAAATGTCACCACGCAACGCACATTTGTAAATATATTTTTGTAATCAATACGAAACATTAGACAATAGTACAATGGCAACAGAGAGTGAAGACGACTGAGCTGATGATGGTGCCACGTGAAGTGTGAGTGGTACACAGAGGGCCTCGGAGCACAGAGTGACGACGGAGGACTAGCACCATGGCAATACATTTACTGAGATACCTGGCCTCGGCATCCGGGGTTTTGGAAGGACTACGTTAATGACATATCTATCTAAGTTTACATGTATCTGTATGCTAATTTATGTGAAGGTCATATAAACTGTAAAAGTGATATTTAAGATGAACAGTTCAAAAAACATAGAAATTTTCATTACTGGCTTCATCACTTCACATTACCGAAAATATTCCTATTATGTATGTGGCAGTATTATCGAAAAATGGCTTTTAAAAGATGTATGTACCAAGCGAAGTTTAGTAAGTAAAGTGATTCTACAAAAAGTACTTAATTATTGTTTTGTTAAGGCTACAATGTAACTAGGTATTTTAGCAACATTTCCTAAAGGTTAAATGAAGTGTCCTCGGATACCGGAGGCCGGGCGCGGTACTTATCGCGTACTGAGTCGAAATACTGATGCGGCACGTTTAGCGCTGCGTTTACTATGTCCGACTGCAGCGGGAAGCAAATAATATCACATTAAAATAATATCATAATAATTCACGTTCTGCCTTCCTCTTTAGATGGTAACAAGATTGAAGGACTAGTTGTTACCTATATTTTCGTTGCACAGGAGTTATTGGGCGCTGTGAAAATTTCCTTATTATCAAATAAGATTAGTTGCGACCAATTTATCTCACTTTAGAAATTCAATATTAGTTGACTCTAAGAAATAAAATTGCTTTTCGCCCTTTAGCTTTGATAAGTAGATTGAAAAGGAAATACACCAGAAAAGATAATATCATTGGCGCTGAAATCTTTCCAAATATCTTAAGATGCAGCTTTAACATGGTTGTTAGGTGGTATTGTAAAACTTACCTTGCAGGGACCCCCCAGGAAGTCAGGGATGAGCTCCTTGGGTATGTAGTCGAGCAGTCCGCCTGGTTGTAGGTAGTCCTTGCCGCCATAGAACAAGAACTTACTGCGGGTGTTCTCGTCTGAAATGGACGAATAAAATTTTAAATACCACTATTTTTCTGAAATACCTTGCAGTGACATTGTTGCATACATCACTATCGTATATAAGTATGGGATGATATCACAGTCAAAAAAATATTAATATAATAAAAGCCGCAAACTCAACAAATAGGGTTGAGGCAACCCAAGGCTTAGCCCTTTTATCGCCGATTACCCCTAATCTTGAGGATTACGTGCGTTGCCTGAAATGCCCAGTAACGCACTTGCAACCTCTATGGTGTAAGGCGATGCTGATTGCCCGAGTGTTCGTTTCTACTAAATAAAGTACGAAACTGCATCTCACCAATAAACGTGCTGACAATAGTCCACAGTATGGGGAAGACCCTGGGCGCGCGCACGATGAGCACGCGGCCCATGGTCTCCGGGTAGTTGGCCTCCACGATCTGAATGATGCGCAGTAGGGCGCGCACGCCGGGCCGCCACAGGTGGCGCATGTTCAGCCCGTCCAGGTCCACCAGCAGGCACCACGACTGCACCGCGTGCTCGCTCGAGTTTGTAGCCTCCTCCAGAAGCTTCAGACCTTCCTCGCATACGTGAAGTGTCTGGGAACAGTCATATACAAATGTAAAGTCATCCAGAACTGGATGGTAGCTTTTCAATTCATTTGAGAAAGATTTAACGAATGAATGTGACAAAACATTTCGAATTTTATAAAAATACATTTACAATCCCCAATTTTCTCAGCCCGATAAGTCTGTTGTCTGTCCTATGCCTTAAAAAAATACGATGTAATGTAATAGAGCAATATAATCTAACTATATATGAAATGTAATATTGCGCTTAATAAGCGTAAATATATATCTCACCAGCTTCAAGAGGCCATCTTCTCCGATAGACTTGAGCAGTCCCTTCACGTCCATCTGACCCAGTCTTAGAATGTACAGCGGACGTCCGTCTGAAACACACAATTACAAATTTTCAACAACTACAAAATTATGCCTATCCCATGTACTTTTAAATACGTTTCCAAAATTGAGATCCGAAAAAGTTCGAACTGTATCCATTTTTGAGTGTCTTCATTATCAGCATCAGCAACCGAACCCTTTATTTCATATTGGGTACTGAATCAGATCAAAACTACTAGACCATTTCTCATTGTCCAAACAGGAGTATGCCCATGTAACGCCCATGGATACCCGCAATACCAGAGAAATTGCAAGTGATATATGCTCGGGGGTTAAGGGATTTAAGAATAGGGGAGGTAATGGAGGCACGGTATGAATTGGGCGAACGTCCTCTTACCCTTGTCATGATGATGCCATCCTCCAGGGAAGTACTGCTTGACAACGTCGGGTGTCTCGTACTCAGATAGGATGCGGTCAACCTGGTGCTTCTTCCGCCAGAGCAGGGACTGCGAGAGCATCTCTCGTGCCTTCTCTACGTTGAAGTCACGCGCGCGAAGAAAACGGAGTAAAGTGGTGTCACTGGGCACCTGGTGATAGACAAGGAAAGAAGATCAAGTAACCAGTTGCGCTCCTTGCTCATTTATAAAAGTTGTGCATTGAAATTAGTAAAGCTTTAAAAAAGTTACTGCACGGTTGGCGCGGTGGTTGCTGACTGCGGCGCAACGAATCGCGGGTTCGATTCGAGTCGTTGGGTCCGCACGAAACAACCCTTTGTGTGATCTACAAATTGTTGTTTCGGGTCAGGGTGAAATGTGTATGCGATTTTGTATGTTTGTAAACGCAGCTACAACACAAGAGAAATTAGTAGTGTGGGACAAAGATTTTTTTTAAATGAGCTATTTATTGGCTTTAATTAGCCTGTCCCAAGATGTCGTGACGCTTTCAGTTTTCTCTTCTTCTTAGAACTTATTAATTTATTTTATTTTACTTATTTAATTTATTTGATATTAATTTATTTGAACTTATTTATTTATTCATAGTCACTTAGCAATTTTAGGTTCACTCACTAAGTTTAATGACACTGTCTTTCCTAAACAGTGTCATTTATCTATTAATTTTTGACGATGTGAGTTATTTATCTATACATGTTTAAGGCCTACCCTACATGTAGTAGGAAGAACAAACAGCTACCATCAGCTAGTCACATGTCTCCCCTTCCTCCACTTCATTCCACATGCTCGGTAGATTGCTCGAGTTTACAATTTATCGCCTTCACCGCGCTACACGCTACGTGCGGAATGCCCGAAATTCGCTCCACTGTTTCGAAGCCAAAACTGACTATAAATTCCAGTTCCTCGGTGTGTGCACATGTTTTTAATATATTTGAAGTACATACATATGTATATATGTGACATTTGTTGCTTAGTTTAACTTGCGTCTTTTCTATTTGTATTATTATAACATGAATGTTTTTTCGACTTGTTGTAAGTTGAATCTTAAAGATACACATACGAATAGGCTTTTTTGTCAGGGAAAAATCATCAAATGTCTTCTCCCGCCCAGGGTCGGGCGGGAGAAACTGCTTAACCGGCGACAGGAAGCTCGTGTTATTACGTGTATATGTACTACGGTCACTGATGATTTCACCACCTCACCTTGCCTTTCTGCAGGTCTGCGATCCATTTGCGGAGCTGCAGCAGCCGAGACTCTTGCATGGGGCTAAGCTCGCCCAGGTACCGCTTGATGTAGTCGCTATCCAGGGTGTATTGATCTGGAAGTAAAGAACTATAATAAGACTTCGGAGAAAGATAATTGTTTAATTAGACTGATATCATAACCTATATTGACTGATGGAAAATTCTTAAATCTTTTTATGTAGATGTTGCGGTTTTAATAAAAACTAAATGGGATTCATATTTTTCGGTATTCTTTCGACCCCTCGGTGGAATTAGGCACGAATTTAATTAGTTATTCAAATAAATTCAAGTTAACTATAGATTGATAGAAAAGGTTACCTCATGATGAATGCCCTTTATTAACTTAGTGTAGCAAAATAGTAAAAAACAACATTACAATCCATGATGAATAATAAATAAATAAATAAAATACCAAATATTATACGAATTACAATCAACTTTAAAAGTTCTATGAACTTTTACCGACGCTATAAGTGGAAACAAGTAGGGACTTAATAAATCAACTTAATTACAATGAATCCTTAAAAATTCAAATTAATATTGCTGAGTGGGAGTGGCGAGTGTTGTTTTTCTAGAAACGTAGACCTCTAGAGTATAGTATTACATATTAATTAATGAAAATTCACGCGAAACATAACAGCTAAGCAAAACACGTTATTTTAGGAACACATGTTTATTTAGCTAGCGTCGGGTCTCGGGTCAGACAGATCGACTTGACGAAAACAGAAATAACTGAACAATGATGTTCACCTTTATATAACGTGACCTTTGAAGTATATAAGGTACCTTTTTTATCTAACTTCAGAAAATTATACATATATAGGTATAATTTTTAATTAAATTAACATAAGACGAAATTTTGAACACTTTTTTGAAATAACAGTAATGCCGATCAAAATTAATCTTGTTTAACATTACATTATTATTATATTTCATTACTTTTAGACCATCAGATACATATTACAATTGGATTAGAAAACCGTAACGGCTGTCAAAATTGGATAAATTCGGCTCTTGGGCAATCGGTGGCTATATAGCCGTAGTAAGGAAACATGAGCAGAATAATTTTAAAAATGGAATAATGTATTTTTTTTTTTATTTTAAACCACCTGTATAGGTATACATTTTCATCGATTTTGAACACAAAACTCAAATGATCGGAGACAAGTCTTTTGCAGCCTAGGGTCTGTCATATGTTCATTTTTATTTTATTTACAATAGAATACTTCTATTTAATAGTTCTTCATTTAGCTATGGGTAAAATGACTTTTAGAGATAGGTTAAACAAAATTTTTTTTTGTTTGTCGGGGGAAAGTCATCAATTGACTTCTGCCGCCCAGAGTAAGACGAGAGAGCGTCAGACTTTTACTGACTAAAAACCCTCACGATCCTTCTCCTGCTTTAGACCGAGGGCGCGGTGTCCCATTGCGCTTACCGCGCAAACAACCCCGGCTGAAAGCACAATGAACTGACACGAACACGTGTAAGAACTATATCAATGTACCACAAAAGCCTTATAACAAAGGCCAGCGGAACAAAGCTTTATTTTAAAGCCAGGCCAAGTAAATGTAGTACTCATTGTATTCTAAGTCTTCCAAAGTATTTTCCTTTAGATCCGACAGTTGATAGACAAAGACTTCGGAAGCAGGTGAATTAAACGCGATCCGAGGTAAGCCCCCAACTTCACTGTAAGGACACTTTGAAAAGCGAAAATTTCAGTCATTTTAAATACCCATTTTGAAATATATAAATGCCATTTTACATGTTTTGTATACCTTAAACTGAGAGTAACGACAAAAGGCTAGTTGGAAAACTTTAATTTTTAGAGTTTTATTTTATATAATAATGGTACAGTATTAGCGTAAACTGTGTTGTTTACGTGTCCCAAGATGTAGACAGCTATTTTTTATTTTTTTTATTTTCTCATGTATCGGGGGAGTTTACAAACATACAATGGCATATACACAAGATACCCAGACCCGGAACAACAATTTGTGGAGCACACAAAGGGTTGTTTCGTGCGGGAATCGAACCCGCGACGCACTGCGCGGCAGCCAGTTACCTAGCTAGCGCGCCAACCGTGCAGTCAATCACTATTTGCACGCCCCGGAATGCAATTTTACGATCCCGTGTGCTACAATCAGTGGCGCTTATACCATATTACAATTAATAACAAAAACATTAAAACTCATTCACAGAACGGATTCAGTTGCGGTAAGATACAGGATGTTGCTCTGATTTCATTTCAAACGTCAGTATCATACAATAAAAAAACAGTTCCAAGAAAAAATTATCCGTGTAATTCTCAAAAACCTTGATCAATAAACCAGAAAAATGTCATCAATGACGTGTTTATTAATGGATTTGTAATTAATTGGAGCATTATGATTTAATCCTCGAGAGACGATCTCCGGCCACCGTAAGCGCGGGTCTGCGGACGGCGAGTAAGGGTAGCTCGCGGCCCGACCGGATCCAGGCCCGAGCGTACGGCGCGTAGCGTTCCGCGCGCGCCTCAAGATGCCAATAAACCACCACAGACACGGCCCTATAGGACTGATGTTCAGCCAGGGTTGCGGGGTAAGCACAATGAGGCACCGACCTCGGCCCAGAGCAGGAGAAGGTATGGGGGGTTTTTAAGAGTCTGACACTCCCTCCCTCCTAAAACCTTGGCCGTTGGAAGACATTTGATGATATTCCGCTCAAAAAAAAAATCTAGAACTCATTTGATAAGGGCTACCATACTTAGTACCCAAAGCAAAAATATGACCTATACACAAATTATTTATCTTTATTATATTTTATATTATCCTTTCTAATGCTTTATGTCTGTCAGTCTGTCACTTAGGCCGGACTTATATTTTTAGCGCCAAAAGAGATAGGCCCTACAGTTTGTACCTTCATCATAGAACATGACAGTATTTAGATACTCTTTTTAAACTGACATTTACATAAATGAAAAAATATTAAGAATGAAGATCACAACGTTCTGGTCACATTTAATTTCTTTTTTATATAAAAGGTATCTCAACGTGGTATAAATTACGAAATTTCAAATTAGGTACCCCTTCTTTTAGTCCGTCTCGCTCGATTCCAACTGGGTTATACAAAGTAATAAGATAAAATTATAAACATTTACACGGTCCATAGAAACTACTCTCAAATGAGTTTACCATTTTTTTCCGTCCTTTAAGTAAGAGAATTATTTATCCAATCACAGTAGCTGTCAAACGCTTATCGTCCAATGGTGTGACTCTAGCTAATTCTTTATTGGGCGTAGAGTCAGCTTGCACTGATTCGATTTTTAAACATTTCCAATCTGTTATTTTCTTAGTTCAAAATAGAATAAAGCGAGATTCAACCAATTTGGCTAGCTCTACAAATTATTCAGTATCATTGAGAGTTTTTTCTGTAATAAAATAGACTGCCTAATTTATCTAGACACTTGGTTAGATACAGAGCGAAATGTTTGTTTATGTTGCTGTATTTTAAGTTTTACTAGAAAAAAGAGGTCACCTTCAAAATTATTAATTGCTAGCTACTCTCGCGCGGTTTCACCCGCTGCTTGGCTCCATTTAATCGTAGCGTGATTTTTTATAGCCTATAGCACTCAGGAACGTTGTAGCTATCTATAAGTGAAAGAATTTTGGCAATCCGACCAGCGGGTCCAAAGTGTACCCCCTACATACAAACTTACAAATTTTACCTCTTTATAATATTAGTATAGACTAGCGACCCGCCTCGGCTTCGCACAGGTGCAATGCCAATTTAGTACCAACTAAATGACACTACTATTTAATGGATGTTATTATACATAGAAACCTTCCTCTTTAATTACTCTATTTATTAAAAAACCCCATCAAAATCTGTTGGGTAGTTTTAAAGATTTGAGCATATACATAGGGATAGAGGGACAGAGAAAGCGTCTTTGTTTTATATACACAACACACCACTGCATGGTAAAATGCACTGCTGCTAGTTGTTTTTAAAGTCAATCTCATTATTTATAATTATATTTTCAAAACCACAGAATATTTTCTTGGCCCTAATCCATGAAAACTTAAAAATATTACTAATATTATTTTATTTTAGGAAAGAAAGACTATTCTGAAATGTATTTGCTCAGCAGAGCGCTGGTTCAATACGATTCGACAGTGGCACAACACCGAATTCTGATCATCAAATATTCATACGTTGAATGCATTACCAAAGAGCACACATTGTAGGCTTTAATAAATACTTTATGTGTCTATAAATTTCCTATTAACTATTTACCAATATGCCACGATGTTTATGTCAAAGACCTCTTTCTCTCTCGCTATATTCTCCACCTACATTCATCAACTCCATGTTATCAAGCACTGATTACTCCCGTGTCGTTTTAAGCCCTGCTCGATTTGTATTGATCAAAACTTAAACGTGGCAAAGTAATGCTTCGGCACGAATGGGTTGGCTCGACCGGAGTAATACCACGGCACACAGAAAACCGGCGTGAAACAACCACAGCGTTGTGTTTTGCCGTGTGAGTCCCAAAATTTCCAAATCCCTAATCCCAAGTTCGGCAACGCACTCGTCGGGCAGCACTGATTACTAACCACCATACCTAGTGGTATTCGTCTGCTCTTTTAGTACGGTAAAACAGTATCACATAAAAAAACACTTGGTGGTTTATTGCCTGAATAGACTAGGTACTATAGTTCGAGTTTTCAATCGAACACTAAGCGAAAATGCCTAATTGCATCGACTGCACATATGCACATTCGCTCAGCCACCAAAATGTAGATCAGTTCGCGTTCGGGTCTCATTAGAGCTACATGCACTCAACACCATTACCGTTACTAAATTACGTAGATTCTAACTATTATAAGTTTTGTAGTAATTTAGTGCAATATAGATATTCTCCTTATAATTTGAGACTTAAAATTACCATACGAACCACATCCTATGATATACACGAAAAGAGTGTTAGGTCACCATCGAATACAAAAAAATCCCTGAATCTGATCCTGAATCAATTCAAATTAACACAATCAAAAAAACAAACACTTTAAAAAATGTCTAGTAGGATTGACCTTCACAGCGACAATACGAAGTCATATACTCGTATACAGGGCGATATAAAATTGCAACAATTACGTGCTGCAGTGTGCCCGTGTGCCAAGGTCGCACGGACAGGGTAAAATTGTTGGAATATGTACTTGGTCGTTTAGACCTATCTATGTACACTGAATGTAGAATTTTCCTGGAGGGGTTAACATGTTAAACGAGGGTAAATTGAAAGCTACGTTGACATGTTTAATTTAGATGGTTGGATGTTGGCATGGTTAGAGGTACCTACGTAGGTACTTGGATCTAAAAACCACTTGGAGCTTCTTAAACCATGAAAAATTATCCAGTTTTTACAAAGATATGAAAATTTTGAAGAAAGAACTTACTGAACAGAGGTGTTATAAAAACATCTCACATACCTGTAGCGCTCATACTTAGCCATTCTGTAACGTTACTTTTCTCATTAGCAGTCCTAACTACTTACACAGTTACATTTTAGTGCTTTCATCTTCCAGACATATAACCGTGACTTCTCCCAACCACTCTCAACTATGCACTCTAAACTTTTAAACTTTAAGTTCATCTTGCCGCATCGCATATAAAGTGGCTGTTCTGCAGTCTACGTAGGTAGTGGCACCCACGCTCTGACGTCATAGCTGTGACGTCACAGATCGTATCGCACCCGGCATGAATGGGGATGAACAAAGCTGAATGGAGGATGAGTTATATCAAGTGTAGGAAGAATGAATGAATGAAAAAGAATGTCCTGTGAAATGTTTCCTTAAATAAACTGTTATCCAAAGACAAAATGATGAAAAAGGATGTGATCTACAATATTTACTTTTCTACACTACCGTGTTCAAACCACAACTGAAGACAGAAACAAATAAAACGTCAATACTAATCCAAACAACAATAACAAAACACTAGAGATATGAACGTAGTCCAAACCAAAAAATAAGGACACTTCCAAGAAGAATCAAATTAACTATAATGAGAAATACATGGAATATAACATACAGAAGCAATATTAGGATAGTCCTTACTTATTTGGTATTCCCAAGACTTAGTTCCACGAAATACAACAAATTGTTACCGCACACAATAGGGACAATATTGACAGATGCTGATATCAAATTATATAACTCTTGCAATACATTATAGATATATCAATTCATATTAAAATATTCTATTTGTAAATGAACCATACTTTATTTTCGACTATAATGCCAAAATGGGTACACAACATATCAGTTGATATTTCTTAGAAATGATGATTGTATTCTTATTTCTTTTCACGTACACCAAATAAATTAAAAAAAGTAGTATCAGTGCATATTGGAATTTTCAATTATCACTCATTATGTTCAAAAGCACCAT